GGGTGGGCTGGGATCCGGAGCTTGGAGGAGGGAAGATGAGCCCAGCCCCCGCTAGGGCTCTCTGGGACCCTCCCGCTCTCCCCACCCACAGCAGACAGCAATGCCAGGAGCTGAGGGGGTCCGGCCTGGCGGAGTGGCAGAGCCGGGTGCATGGGGTCGGGGGTCTCTCCAGCCAGCCCTCCTCAGCCATCAGGACTTGGGGAGGACCGTCTTCAAAGAAGCTTCACTGTTCTGCCCTGACTCCGCCTCCTCTAAGGACTTGATTTGCTGCTTCTGAAATCCCAGGGATCTGAAAACTTCAAAACCGGCGGGGCAGACCCTAGCCTGCCTCGGGTCACCGCTGGAATGCATCGGCCCTGCCAGGAACCCTGCCTTTGTCTTCATAAGAAGGACACATGTGGAGCCCTCGCCCCAAGCCCTCGCCCCCCCCACCTCCTCTGCTTGGCAATGCTCTCCACACCCCCCTTATGTGGACTCTGTTGTTCTTGTCTGATCTCTTGTCAAATGTTATTTTGTAATGAGCTGCGTCTCCTTATTAAAGAAATGAGCTGAAAGAAACCCGGGGGTTGGGGGGTGTCTCTCTTGTTTGCTGGGCTGTGGGGAGGGGCCTGGCAGGAGCTGTCTCTTGAGGGTCTGCATGGCGGGTGCGTGTGGGGAGCGGGTTTGGAGAATCTGGCCTCGAGGCCAGCGTCTTCCTTCAGGGAAGCAGTGCAAGGGTCCTGAGGCCCATTCTCTTCTTGGGGATGCAGTCTGTGATGGGCGGTGGGGCGCACACATCCCCATGACAGGGTCAGGGCAGTGGTGCTGGGGAATGGGGCCTGGGAGGCTGGGGGATCCTCCATTCCTTTCCCGTGGGGCTGGCTTGGGGGAACAGACCTTCTGAGCGCTAAGACATGGAACCTGGGCCTGGGGAATGGAAGTTTGAAAAGTGAGAATGTCTATGAAGTCTTCGCTTGCCCCATTGTAAAGAACTTCAAATGTCTTTGACTTCTGAGGCAAAGATGTTAGGGGCCAAGGAGGAAGTTTCAGAATTTTAAGAAAAGAGAAAGTAGAGCAGCAACCGCCCCTATTGAGAGGGAAAAGAGGGCGAACTGAAATAAAACAAAGGCATTTGTGTGGGGTCTTAGAATTGCAATTCAGGGGACCCAACTTCAGGTAGCAAACCAGTTGTGTCCCTTCAAGGGTAAAACCCTGAGGTTTTTATCAGCAGACTGTGGAAGTATTAAGAAACGCACACAAGTTGTTTTCTAAAAATTATGATTGGAAGATACAATCACATTGTACAGTTGGTTTTCCGAGTACGGTCGGTTCTAGGAAAATCTTTTGCAGAGTGTCCGACTGTTATCAAGAATGTGGAAGCAGCAGGCCCGTGTTCAGGCCTGTGCCTCTGCCTGGTTCAGTAGTTCAGTCCGTGTTTTTGAAAGCACGATGAAGCGTCAGTCCCAGAATGGAGTCGCTTACGTTCTGAGGTTTCACGCAGGTCCACACCCCTAAGAACTGGCAAGGGTGAGGCCCCTTCCTTGGTTCCCTCCCTCCTGTGGACCTGTCTCCTCGCCTCCAGGACGGGCCAGATCTCTGCCATTTCGAGAGCTTCGCCCAGGCTGATTTCCAGCGTGTCTAAGGGCAGCCGGGTGGGAGCGGGGCCGCTGGGCCCAAACTTGAGCTTGCCTGTCGGGTGCGGACACAGGAGGCGGCGACGGCACCCAGACCAGAAGGCGGATCTGGGCTTGCTGCTTTAGCTCCCGAGCAGGGCGGGCTGGGCAGCCTGGGGGGCTGGGGACTTGCCGGTGGTGGGTCTCTTGGCTGAACACGTGAGCTCTCTGCCACGGGCTCTTCCCCTTTGCAGAGGGCTGGCCAGGGGATACCGGGACTGGGAACAAACACCTCACCAGCTCAAGCGGGGGAGAACAGAAGGAGAAAGGACGTTTGCGGTTTCGAAGGCCCTCACATCACACATGCTGCTTTGCCTCTGTTTCGGGCCCCAGGACAGGTCTGAACTCTTCAACCATGATGTCATGTTTGTTCTGTTGCTGCTTGGGCTACGAGCAGCTGGGTGACAGCAAGGGAAAAGAATCTTTCCTCCCGGTGCTTGCGCCAAGTCAGTGACCAGGGATTTCCGCTTGGCAGCAAACACAGGGCTGAGCCAAGCCGAGGCAGGGCTTGCTGGAGGGAGAAAGCAGACCCGAACCTTGGCTGAGCGAGGTCAGACCTGGCCACCCACCTGCACCCCCGGCCGGCGGGCCTGAGCGGCCGCCCCCCTGTACACAGCTGCTTGGCTGGGAGTTCGGATTTAACCTCCAGTAACCCCGCAGCTTGGTAGCCGGAAGCTGCTGCGTGGTTTCGGCTCTCCTGAGTCACACAGTGGCCTAGCGAAGACCACTATGGATACAGCAGAGGGCTGAGGGGGAACGCCAGGCGGCCTCCAGGAGCCCAAGAAAGCCGCCGCCTCTCCAGCCCTCCTCTGCCCGTGTGCCCGAGCGCCGTCCGTGTCCATCCAGACTGGCTCCGCCCCTCAGCCACGGAGCCTTGCTCCCAGCAAAGAAATCACCGTATTCCGAGTCGCTCAACACTGGGAATCTTGATTTCTTTGGATGGTTCCTTTGAACGCCCAATCTTGGCTTTTCCTTGGTCTGACTCCAGAGATCCTGCTTTCAGCAACAGTGACTCACTCCTGGCTGTTCCTGGGACAGAGGCAGGAGGGTGAGCACCCCCCACCCGGGTAAAATTGGAATGGGCTGCCCCAGATGGGACAGTCTATAAACCCCACTTCCTTAACCATGGAGACACAGTCACAAAGTTAAAACACGGTTTTATTTACTCATTTATAAATATGGTCGTGTTTACAGGCATCATATAGATGTGAATATTACTCCCAAACTTTCAAACACAGAATACTTAATAATACTATATAATAACAACCAGTAAAACAAAATCATTCATCTCAGGGTTGAAAGGCCACTCAAAATTGCATAAAAATACATTCAATTCACAAAGCGAATCTGGCTCCCCCTCCCTAAATGCCCTTATCCCACCCCAGGTGTATTTACAATGGACTGAAGTTAATCCGTACAAGTCGGCTGAAAAACTTACATCTGGTGCTTTAACTGCGGTGGAAGTAAGGTCGGGAGTGGAGAGTGAACTGAGTGGAGAAAAGACAAAATTCAACCCCTAAAATGGGAGAGGCATGAGGACCCCAGGGTGGTTCTTCTAAGTTCTTCTCACCCCTAACTGATCACGGTCAAGGGCAGAGGAAGAACAGAGGGAGGGAAACCACGAAGCCAACGCCGGAGTCTGCATGAGTCCCGTGAGAACAGGCTGTATCTTCTCCAGGAGCAGGGGAGCAAGGATGAAACACGTTCCGTCCCTCCTCAGGGAAATGACGGCCCTTCCTGGGGGCCAGCGAGGTGGCAGGCCCAGTCTTTCAAAGGCTCAAGGGACTCTAGCCCGAAGTGGTGTTATTCTGGATTGCTGCCACCTCCCAGAATCCTCTCCCAGCCCTGCAGCCCACCTCCTGGTGTTCTGTGCCTGAGCCCCTACATCCTCCTTCCTCGAACCTCTCGTTATCTGGCCTTCTTCACTAGAGGACAAGCTGGAATCTGTCCCAGGCTTCAGTGGTGTGGGAGGGAGGAAAGACAAGGTCAGATATGTTAAGGTGAGACTCTAGTGAGTGTTGACTTCACATGTCCCTGTTCAGGATCTGCCCCTCATCCTCAAATCTGGTTTTGTGGGAACATCGGAGGCTCTCAGAGGCTCCCTGCAGTGTGCCTCTCCTGCATCCTCTCCTGCAAGGGAGCAATGGGCTGAGGTTTTTTCTGGGAAAATATTCTGTCCCTAGCTGGAAATAGTCAAAGCTCTCAGGACAAAGACTGAGTAAGCTACACACGGCTACCCACGGTCTCCCTGGCCAGGCCACGGACAAGTCAGACGGGCCCACCATTCAGACCTCCTCTCTGAGAGGCTGGTAGAACGGCCAGGGACCTTTGAAACTAGAAGAGGGGTGGTGGTGGCTGTGGCTGGAGAATGGAAGTGGAACAGGAACGATGGCTGATGTGTGGAAAACCTCCTAAGTGCCACTAGCTCCAAGTGAGACTAGCAGAGAACAAAGAATGGTGGGAGATGGGAGAGGAAGGGTGAACGGAAAGTTTCTTTGCTTGTAGGGACACAAGAGCATCCTAATGTCACCTTAAGGGGACACCCAAGAAGTTTATTGGAAGCATGAAGGGGAAATTTGGAGGAGAAATAACAGAAACTATTACTCTGGCAGATTCACAGTCTGAAATGATAAGATGGGACTGGAGAATGGCTCAGAGAGAAGGCCTTTGGGGGATTGGAAGGGCAGGGGAAGAGCAAAAGATATGAATTAACAGAATGACAGACTTGGATAACAATGATCCAAGCACACACCAGGCCAGCAGATGTGCCTGTGTGCACATGTGTGTGCCTGTGTGCGCACGCACATGCATGCAGGTTAGAAGCAAGGGCGACCTCCCAGTCGTTACACCTCTTGAGGTAAGATCAGATCATTCGTCAATTCATCACTCACCAGTGGTATCTGTCTGTGAACAAACCTACTCCCTATACTCTTCGGGGACACTGGGTTGCAAGCCACACCTATGCTCAATTTGACCCTCAACCACAAATCTCAAAGGAGAAGTGAATGCATCTCTTACTCTGCAGTTGCTAGCAGGCTTGTCAAGATTCTCGAGCTGGTTTTTATCAGCCCCCAGAGACCACCTCCTCCCTAGTAGCTGTGACAGTTAACAGTTCCTGGGCTGCAATGAAGTTGATCTGTTTTCCAATCTAATCAGAACACAAGCAATCAATAGCTGTCCTTGATAGGGTCTACTGCTCCCGAGCCATGTCGATACCCATTAGGGAAGCTGATTAACATCTCTGCTCTGCGGGAGGCCGAGGGACCAGGGTACCAGGGAAGAGCACTCATTTCCCTGCGTGCAGCTCTGCTGCTCAGTGACGCCTCCCCCCCCCCCCCAAGCTGGCAGCCTCCACCCTGCTCTTGGTTCTGCCTCCTTCCCACCTTCCCACCGCAGCGCACGGGCCACCTTCACTTTCAGGGGCTCTGGCCTTTCACTCCACTCACACCCAGTCCTGCAGGACGCTCTTCGGAGTGCTGTTCTATGCCACACCCTGTGTGGACTTAGGGTCTCTGAGCTCTTCCTGCACCAGCGGTCTCCTCTGCAGACCTGCTTAAAGGAAGGATCACCCTGAACAGCGTGGGAACCTCCTACTTTGGATAGTCCAGAACCCAGAGGGGCTCCCCAGAACTAAAGGTTGAGGTTTTTATTGAGGAAAACTCTCTTGCTGCTGTAGGGCAGAATTTAAGACTATGTGTAAGCTGGTGCTGAGCAGAGGGGCCGTGTCTGCCCTTTGGATGTTAAGGGCCATGAAGACCACATTCGAGAAGGCTGTGAAATCTATGAAGCAGTAGCTCTATTTCCTATTAAAACAACTTGTCCAAAGGCTGCCTGCAACGAATTACTTTCCATCCATTTCCCCATGAGCTCCAATTTCCACCTCTGCAGGTTTTAATATTCCTACCGAGCCATTAGGAGGGAAAGCAATTGCAACACCATTCCATTACCTTCAATATTAAATTCACTTTCTAACAAGGATGAGAAGTCAACCTTGACGTGCCGATGTTAAACAGTACGAATCCAGAAGAAAACAAGATTTTTTGCCATTAGAAAGAGCAAAAATTCTGAGTTAAGAAATGTTCTGATCTTCCCAGGAATAAATATATCACAGAATCGTAAGCCTAGAAGGGATCTTGAGGACAATCTAGTGCAAAACTGCATTCTGCAGACGGCGAAGGTGACTTTCCCAAGGTCACACGGCTAGCAAGAGCTGGCCCTACAATGCAGCTGTTCTGACTCCTAGGGGCTTATCCTTTCCTGTTGCCTTCTTCTGCCCTCAAAGCTGCCGTGCTTATTGGGTGAGGGGACTCACATCCTTTGATGGGCTGAAACCTGCCTTAAAAATCAGTGTGGGATGCAAGCTTTGCAGTTAGAATCGGGCCAAGGTTTGGGGCTGCCAACTGTGTGTCTAGAGTTAGTGTGGTGCTGGCACAAACAGCGGCCCTGGGAACGGCCAGGAGGGAAGGACCGCGGCCAGCGCCCATCTAGCGCCACCTGTTAAGCTGCGGTGGAACCAGGGGCTCACCCAGGGGGGTGGTACCAGGAACTGCCCCCTGCCTCGTGGCTCAGTTGCTGAATCCTTCAGGCTTTCCCTTTCGTGGGGCTGAGCAGCCTGGAAGCTGAGGAACCGGCAGTATTTTCAATAGTTCATCTCTCCTCTCTATGCTTCTCTCACGGCAGAAGGACGGCCACCGTGGTCGGGATAGAAATGCTGGCCTGTGTCCGAGAGGAGGCAGTCTGTCTGTCTGGCTAGGGGAGGCTGCGCTGGGGCCAGAAAGCCAGAGACCAAACCAAATGCGCAGCTTTGAGAATTTCTCCTCCTCTCATCCGTGGCTCAGTTAAAAGCCCCTGAAAGTTGACGCACGATTTTGCGAGAGTCACAGGCTAACACATGGGGTTTCAGCCTTCTCCTTTCTGAGCACAACTACCGAATGAGCACGTTTTGTTCTGGGCAGGGGAAGCCTGTGAAATGACCCAAACCAGAGATCTGAAGCCTCCTTCACCAGAGGCCTCAGAGAGCAATAAATGTATCTTGGTCTCAAACGCGGAGTGGGAGACAGGAAGGCGCGGAAAGAAGTGAACGCATCCTGTAGCTGGATAGGAAAAGCCAGGCGGGTTCCAGGAGACGTCAAGCAAGACTGCCCGAGAGAGAACCCAGCGCACTGCACAAGCCCAGGGCATGTCTGTTCTCCAGACTCTTTACAGGCAACACCCCAAGATTTGCATGACCCTGCTGCACTGGAGACTGGGACTGGGGCAGGGGCCATCATGCCCAAGAGCGATCTGGAAAAGAGTAAGCAGCCCTTGAAGGCCAAACAGGCGGAAAAGTGAAACTTCAGCCAGAGAATCTCTGGAATGGCCGAATCATTACTCCCGAAGGTGTGGCTTGGTTTTGAAAAATATCAAATTAATGAGAACAGAGTATATAAAGTCGTACCAAGAACCTTCTCGTCCCCATCCTGCTATTTCATGTAAAGAGTCTGAAAGTGACCCAGCACAGCTGAGCCCCAAATTGTTGGCCAGACCGGCAGTATTCACACAGCCTGAGCTATCTGGGGTGCTCTTGGTATCCAGACCAGTAGGTTGAGGACAGGAGGTCTGTGGCCACTGCAGAGACCAAAAGCACAAGTGGAGGGAGGCCTGCTGCTGTCGGCACCGAGAGCACATGGCTGGCCATTAGGTCTCTAGACATCACTCCTGGGCTTCCAGTCAACGCAACTGTGAGGAAAGGGTATTTTATTCTCTGGGAAGGGACCAGAATTCAAAGTCTATCTGTCCAATAAAGTTAATTGCATAAGAGAGAGTGCCTGAAATTACCTGGGATGGTTTACACTTTCATGGTTTTTTGGCCATAGAATCCGATATTCCTGAGATTGAAAAGCTTGCAAATTTTTCATCACAAGGAAAACTTTCTGGCAAGAAAAGGCATCTTTAATGTGAAAGGGCTGTGTGAAGCAGCAGGGCCTAACACCCACCTAAGAGTTTTTAGATTCTGTCCCACGCTTTTGAAAGGCACAAACAGATGAGGGAACTGTAACCCCTTTCCCTGGTCTATCTAATGTGAGAGGGTCAGGATATTTTCCTAATAATTCAGCTTTCCTTTCCTGAGAAAGAGGCAGGAACCACTCCCATGCCTTGCCCAATATCCAGGATGTGCCCGGAGAATCAATTAGTCAACACCTTCTGTTGATTTTCCCTCTCCCTAGAATGAAGAAGATGTTTATAGTGGAAGTGAGGAAACATTTTACTCTAATTTAGCATTCCCTGAGAACTGAGCTGACAGTGCTCCCAAGGTCATACGAAATCCTAATCAGTAGTGGCTTCTCTTGGAAAATGGTCAGAAACGGAAGAGAGAATTCTGTATATTCTAAAAATGGGGTCTTGCCAGAGGAGACATATTTCCTATTCTGGAATTAGGACCTCTGGTTTAAAGAGCATGTAACATTTCAGAGGGCCATGAAGAACTACACTGTCGTTTTTGGGAAAGAAATTAAAAATGGGCAGAGGTGGTATATGTTAAGAGAATGGACCACCCTAAGCACTGAATACCATGGGCCACTCTAAAATGAGGAGGATTTACATGACCCGCACACTCAAACCAACCATGGGAGAAAATGCCTGTAAAGGCCAAATACGTTAGGCAGACAGACGAGATGTGACAGGCAGGAAAAGTATGCCATATGAGGGATGCCTTCAAGGACCGGGAAAACGCCAGTTGGAAGTAAGGTTAAGGGGAGATGACCAACGACACGAGGGGCTGTCATATCAAAGGGCAGCACTGGACCGTGTGGAGCCCCCACGGCAGACCTCGACTTATCTTAGGAAAAGCTTTCTGGTTATAAGAGTTGCCCACCTTTCGAGGGACAAATGCACAGCTATCTGACAGCGGGCCAGAGCTGGGGCAGTGGGGTCCTGGCGGGGGTCCCTCTAACATGACAATGGAAAGCTCAACCAAATGACCTCTGGGCTTTGCCACTCTAAGGTTCTGAGACTCAGTGGGTTGGAAGTATCCCATCACTTTAAGCCTCTATTAAGAGGTCTTTTCTCCTGTTGGCTTTTAGAAAACAAATGGTCTCTCCCCTACATCTAGCCACTGGAAATCATCACATTCACCACCATTACCACAGCACGACCTATCTTCTGTCCTCTTTGTCACAAGGTTGCAGATGTCCCCAGATACTCTACTCACACCAGGTATGTGTGCTTCCACTCCCCGGTCCACCTCCCACCCATCCCAGCTCTTGACTCCTTCCAAGGACTTCCTTTCTCATTTGGAGCAGGTGCCAGAGTGAAGAGAGGAAAACAAGGTCAAAAGGAGATGGGGCAGAATGGCGTGTTCAGAGCCCAGATTTTCTAATAAGGAGAATCACTGTGTAGGGAAGACAAGTGGGAGATGAGAACAGTGGGCTGACACTTACGCCATGGTCTGGCTTTTCTGCAACAGGGCCAGTGGTGCCGCCAAGGCAATTCTTCTGGTCTCCAGAGCGCCCCAGGAGAAATGATTTTCCATAATGGCCAAAGACAAGTGAGGTCAGATGCTCTGTTCTAGCTCTTACACAATGTGGTAAAGTGGTGGAGGGGAGTCAGAAAGGAATATAGAAGGATAGAAAGGAAAGGAATAAGGAAGCCAGGGTCATCTGAGCCCTGGGGAAGGGGGCCAGGCATGAGGAAAGAACAAGAATTAAGACTAATCAGGCATGTTACTGGGTTGTTGATAGAAAAAATAACAGTAACACCAGCAAGGAGTAAGAGAAAAGTCAGTTCCTGAGAGGTGCAGACTAGCAGAGACCTTCTATGCAGAGTCACGGTCACCTTGGAATCTAACGGAAACATAGCTCCAGAGGCTGTCCAATGGTTATGCCAACATCCTGTTTCCCCTGGCATCCCAGACAGGATCCTGGAATGGCCACCGTAAGACTCACCTATATCAGAGGACACTGGGTCCGTGTAAAAGGCTGTGGGGTACTGGTTTGGGTAGAGCCTTACATGTTTGGATCAAATCCAGTGTGGACGGGTAGCTGCGCAGCAGGGAGTTGGGACCCACAGCTGAGCCTGGTGGACTCCCCAAGGCCTTCTCCAGATGGCTCGAACGGCTCAAATGATCACAATCATGCTTCAGTTAAAACTGCCATAAACTCAGGGGGCGCGGGGCACGGGAGGGACAGGGCATTCAGAGTGCGGAGGACACGTACGGTGCAGAGGAGGTGACTGGAGGAGGGTCAGAAAGAAGTCCTTCCACCAAAACATTCACTTCTTTTGGTTGGAAGGCAATGGCTGGAAAAGAGGGGTGGGAACAGCAAATGCTGCCCCTTCCCTCCCAAACTGGAAGCCTAGTCTATTTGGATAGTTTGCTGATGACTCTGATGAGGGCACCATTTTCATCTTTCAGCCTCTGGTTGTCGGATTTCAGTTCTGTTAACACCTGCAGGGTGACAGAGGGAAAGGTGTGTTAGAGCTTGGAATCACACCTCCGTACCGTCCCTGCCCAGGCCAGGCCGGCCCAGCGAGCAGGGCGTTCGGAGGCAGCATATGCAGGGTACTGTCGCCACCCTTTCTCCCAGGGATGGAAGTCCCCTGAATCTTCATGTTTGTTGAGTTGGTGATGTGCAAAGGGAGATGTGCATTAGGGAGACCACAGCCCTCCATCTTTTGAACTAGCATATTCAGCAAAAGCGTCTTATTTCACGTTCCACACCTCGTGTCCTTTCATTCTCCTGAATTGGTAACTGTTCACAATGGTTCTGGCGCTTGAACTCACTTCTAGCCTGGAGATAGTAAGGAGAGTGCCAAAGGGAGCTGGTGAGGATAGAGGAGAAACTGAAAAAGGAGTCCTGGTCAACTAAAAGAGTTAAGGGCAGACACTGCTTCACACCCCATCAAAAATAGGAATGCAAGGGGGAGGGGCACAACTTGGCTTTCTGTCACACCCACGAGATTTAAGGTCCTCCTCGAGCCTTCTGTGATAAAATCCACCCAAAGTATCCACTTTCAACCACTAAAACCCAGGGAGTGTACAAATTCGGTCACTGTACAGCTGTGGCGCACAGGGAGCGATAGGTATGTATTTAATTCTCACCTGGAGCTCCCTGTGGGGAGCTACCACAGGATACCAAGGGTCCTCAGCAGCAGTTTTAGGGGATAGTGTTACAAATCCGGGAAATAGGTGCTTTGGGGGATGGGGGAATAGAGATTCCAATTCCATCAGTTCTGTCATCTTGGAACACGACACAGTGCTGTTCAACAGGCGAACAAAGGAAACGCGGCAGCCCAGGCCCTAGTCTGGACAGCCAAGTCTTCATATGGGACCAGACAGGCTGGCAGGTGTGCTGAGCATCTAAAGCACTACAATGGGACGTTGCTGAGGGGACAGTTCCTGTGTGGGCCCTGCTGGCAGTTCAGGGATACTTCGGTTAGAGGGGAAGTACATCTTCACCGTGAAAGCTACAGAAATCTACATCTACATCCCATCAAGGCAAACGTGCTTTGATGTTTTTAGTCAGCAAACCTACAGGACTCCAGCAGGAGGTGAGGTTACCAGTCAAGGATGGCCTGGGTTCGGCGGTCATGAGGCCTGTTTAATTCTAGCTCCGGCATGCTATTAACCACTTAGGGGCTGTAACTGTATTTTTATTTCCTCAATCTGTTATGGAGGATGTAGACTTGATTACACGAATACTATGTGTATGCACAAATATATGTATCACAGAGACATAAAGGATTTGTATTAAGGGAACGAAAACAGCAGTGAACCACCATAATGGGGACGGTCTCACTCCCATTGTCTCATCAGTACCGCACGAGTCTGTGACACAGGTGCTATCCTTACGTCTACAAATGAGGAAATGAAGAATTTCCTAACTAGTCCAGAGTACCCAGCTCTTAAATGGCAAAGCTGATACCGAGCCCATGTGTGCCTGACTCTGAAGATGATTCTTTCATTACAGAGGTCGTGTGGGGGCGGAAAACAGAGCACCAGAAGTCCAGAATTCCAGCACCGTCGCGGTCATGAATGGTCTCTATTACTTTAAGCAAATCACTCAGTTTGTCTGGGCTTCCATTTCTGTGTCTGAAGAAGAATCATCCTCTCTGCCCCGGTCGCTCAAGTCGGGCCCCTGTGAGGGCCCCAGGAGAACCGGACGGGGAAGTGTGCTGATGGGCAGGACGTGCTCTGTGATTCTCGGGATTCTCATGACCACGGTGAGTCCTCCCATGGATATGGGATGGCAGGTAGGTGATCTGCAAATTTTACTGAAAAGATTTTAATCCAGATAGTATCAAAATAAAGTTTTGGTCCTTTGCCTCTGCCTCCCCTAATCAAAGCTGTTCTGGCTGCTCTCTTCTGTGCCTCCATCCCTGTGGCCTTGACTACCAGAAGTGAACGCTCAGAAAGCTCAGTCCAAGAAGATTTTTAGAAAAAGTCAGCCAGGTTGGCCCCACAGTGCTTCAGCTTCCCATCTGCTCTCCAATGCTCCATCCTGGATCCCACCGCCAGCCTGGGTATCAGTGAGACTCTGAAAGTCGTTATTTCCACAATAGCATTCCATAGGCAGGGAAGGAGCTGTATGTGTCTTGGATTTCATTCCTCTGCCAGCAGCTCACCAAATCAGAACTGAGCTGACCCCTCCCTGCTTTTTAAATGTACAAACAACTCGTTGAGACTTGGTGATTTATTTCCACATTAAGAACTCAATTCTTTGGGAAAAAAAAAAAAAAAAAAAGAAACCTTGGACAAGGCAATTTCCCAACTGCAATACGCTACGACTGACATCTTAAGGAGTGTCAAAAAGTCCAAGACATGGAATATAGAGAACAAGGGGGAAAACAGTCTCATAAACTTGACTCTCAAAAGGGAGAGGGGGAAATGAACAGTGTTATCTGATATTCACTTGGAGTTAAAGAATGATTAAATAAGAACACACGCGGAAGCTCTAGAGAAGGAGGTTTAACGAGCTTTATCATTTCAGCCCCCTGGAGGTCAGCTTTCTTAACTTCTAAATTACCAGTTCACCAGTTTGATGTTAAGGTGTCTTGTGCAAATAAAATTTAAGTGCATGTTTTTCCAAACATGACTTTGTCCAGCCTTTGATGAGGAATGTGCTGAAGAGGGAGAGGATTATGAGGGTCTTAAAGCTGCGGAGTCCTGGGAAGGACAAGGCTAGCTAGCTGCAGGGTGATGGGAGCTCAGGACGAGCCTTACCCAGGCTGCTTTGCTTCTGACTACTTGGGAAGTGGGGAGGGCGTCCCACGCTTACATTCTTTTGGAAATGGCGTACACAACACATTGAGATAAGATGATTTCTCTAGGGGATTATTAAAAAACAAAACAAACCCCAAAACACCCAAAAAGTCAAGGCAAACTTTCTTGGCCACACTGTCAGTTTGGCTTATTTATCCCCTCTTTCCTTCTGGTGGGTGTCGGCAAGTGTTTTCTGTAAAGGGCCAGAAAACTGGTATCAAGCCATATGGTCTCCGCTCCAACTACTCAACTCTGCTCTTGTGGCCCAAAAGTACTTATAAACATAATGATAATATGTAAAAATATGAGCATGGCTCAGTTCCAATGAAACTTTATTTTTGGACATCGAAATTTGATTCCATTATTTTCATGTGTCATGAAATAGTCTTTGTCTTTTGATTTCTGCCCCCCTCCATTTGTATGGCTTATGGGCCAGACTCGATGGGCCACGGTTTGCTGGTCTGTTACATGTGCTATGCAATGGTTTCTTTGCAGTGGCAAAATCTTTGGGTGGTAATGGCTGTTGAAGAAGTCAAGAGTGCAGAGAAAGCAGAACGCTGTCCCCCATCCCTCAGCTGCAAAGGTGAGGCACACTATGGTTGTTCAACAGATTCTTCTTGCACTGTTTAGTGCATATGCTTAACAAATGGCTAAAACTCTGTGCCAAACACGAGGCAGCTAAAATCACAGTGGTTGAGTGCTTGGGTCTGGAACGTGACATATTGGGTATGAATTTCGGTTCTACCATTTACTCTCTGAGTGACCTTGGACAGGTTACTTGATCTGTAACTTGCTTTTCTCCCACATGTTAAAAGGACTGTTCTGGGGAAGAAGTGAGAAAAAGCATAGAAGGTACTGTGCACAGGCCTTAATAAGTGATAATTGTTACCTTAGTTATGAACTACTGAAAGCACGAGATCTAGTTTTGCTCCATACTCTATACTATGTTGCACAAAGAGGGAAACTAAAAGTAACTGGGACATCTTCTGTGGGTCCCTAGCTCACCCGTCGAATTTTCCAGTAATCCCGAGGCTTACTTTAAAGCACGGAGCTAGGACCTGACATGGCACTCGGTAAGTAGGGTGACTAAGTTGCTTGGTGCCAGGCCCGGTATTACTTCCCTTTCAGTTTTCTTTCTGTGCCTGATAGCATCTACAGCAGGATGTTAGCTCAGCCCTTATGGTAATTTGGGTGCTTGAGATCTGGTGGGTATTAACTGCCAGCTACTGACCCTGAAGGCACAAGCAAATAGGCAGAGAAAAGAACAGGCGCTGGTCAGGACTGATTAGATTGTTGCTGAAAATTAAAAACTCATTTCAAAGAGTGAAATTGCTCAGCAGCGGTGACCCCATCACACCACCGCGGGATGGGAAAACAAGTTATCTGTGAGCTTGTCTTTCAGGCCTCTATCTAAGGAAAGGCTCCAGGTTGGCAAACATAGTTTTTGGTTCCCAGCTGAGAATAAATCCCTCCTCTCTGCTCCAATGACTGTCATGTCTTTTGCAAACCTACCCCCATTAGGGAAGGTCTGGCTGTGTGCGGGTCTCATTTATCCAGGCTGTGTTCTGCCTCACAGCCCACACACTGGCTAGGGGTGGGGGTAAAGGGGCACATCCTCAGGACCCAGAGATTTGTGACAGGGATGAGAATGATCCCTCCCAAGGAGGGGGAAGAAAGCAAAGACTATTGCAGAAGGGAGGCAAAGAACAGCCAATTCTACTCAAATGGTGGGCTGGGCAGTGTCGTTGCTGGTGGTGGAGCTCTAGCCTTTAGTGCTGGTCGTCCCCATGCAGCATGTTGTCAGATGTGGAAGACTTCGTTCTGTCTGGTACGTTCTGGGGATTGGGGCAGGGTGGGGAGGGGGGGAATGGGCCCACCAGGCACTACATACATTAAAAGCTCCCAGCCAGGGTTCAGAGTCCCTGTCTTTGGTTACCCCGGGCCCAACAAGAATTTGGAGTCCGGGACCAGCCCCCATTGCTCCAGAGACCATGATGTACTCGGGCTGCTGCCGACCGAGCAGCTCAATTTCAGTTCGGCAATGACCCCGCCGAGTCTGCACATCCACGGGTTTGGGTGCACATCTGTGTACTCCTATGTATAGCCGAGTGAGCAAATCCACATCCAGTCTCCAGGGGAGGAGAAGGTGATGTGGTGATCTTACCAAATAGACCACTGGCCCAGGT